AGACGCATGACCACTTGTTCATTCATTGTGATGGTGTTCGTTGGCCGTTGAATAATATTCTGGCTTCTCAACATATAGATTGGGTGCTGCCTGGATGTATAAAGGACGTGTTGCGGGTGTGGAAGAGAAAGTTTCGTGATAAGAATAGCAAGCTTGTATGGAATCTTATCCCGGGATGCATTATATGGTGCTATGTTGCTCGGACTCTCCAAAAATGGAGAAGTATCCGTGTCGACACGACACGGATATCGACACGGGATATGGATCGGATCCTTAGCTTTGCACTTGGACACGGAAGCAAAATGGAGAAGATGAGGACTTGCGGTGGCGGAGAGAGAGAGAAACAATAAAAGACGATTGTCGCAGAGGAAAGAAACAATAAAAGACGATTGTCGCAGAGGAAACAGAGAAGACGAGGAGTTGCAGAGAAGAAGAGGTGTTGCTGGGGAAGAACAGGAGTTGCAGAGAAGAAGATGAGTTGCTGGGGAAGAAGAAGAAAACCCTAATTTAATGTGGGCTGTTGACCCAATTTTTTAATGTTTTATATGGGCTTTGTAAAAATAGAGTTGATAAAATTTTATTATTTTATTGGGATGAATTATAAGATCCAACCCATTTAATTTAAATTTATTTTGTATTAAAATTTTTATTTTTTATATTTTATTTGTGCAAACTTTTTATTTGGTAATTAAAATAATTTAATGTTATATTTTTTTGTATTAAATTTAAATTTATATCTTTATAATTATTTTTAAATAATATATAAGACATTGAAATTGATTTTTTTCTTTGAATTTTTTGGGAAAAAAATATTTTGACTTTAAATTTAAATTAATTTCAAATTATAATCCAATTGCTTAAATTAATTTTATGACAAATTTTATTTTTTATTTTTATTTATGTCAACATTTTATATAGTAATTAAAAATCACAAATTCAATATTATTAATTATAAAACTAAAAATACTTATACTACAATAAAATAAAATAATTGTTTTGTCATTTT